GGAAGGGCGGGCCCAGCCAGTGAGGAAATTGACTGTCTTTATTGGGCTCAGACCAGGAGTCCATGGGTCTTGAGGACCTCTGTGTATTTGTCAATCTTCTTCTCCAAATTCTTCTCGGCCTGTTTCCGTAGCCTCTGTAGGGAGAAGGAATAAGCGATGGGGTCTGGAGCAGCTGCTTGACCCAGGACCACCCCGCACTGACCCCAACGGCACCAGCCACGCCTCAGGCAGTGTCGGCAGAGCCCCCGGGACACCTGCAGACCACCGTGAGGACACATCCCGTGCCCGCCCCGCCAGGCTGCAGAGCCCGCCCCGCCCAGCCCGCCCCTCACCACGAGCTGCTTCTTCTTCCTGTAATGGATCTTGGCCTTCTCCTTCCTCTTCTCCTCCAGGGTGGCTGTCACTGCCTGGTACTTCCACCCCACCTCGTGTGCTAGGCGGCCCAGGTAGGCAAACTGGGGGCACAGGGAGATGTGTAAGCACATCCAGGAGTTCCTACCAGGCTCTAAATCCTAGGGCTCCAGGGAACCACGGCAAGGCCTGCTTGACTTCACCCAAACCGTCCCCAGGCACCCACCCGAGGGGCGGCCCCCGGCCTGGCATCAGCTGAGCCGTCGGCATTCTCGGCAGCGCCCAGGGCATCCGCAGACCATCGTGAGTAAAGCCATCATCTGCCAGGGTGTCAGGGACACGGCCTCCCCTCCCCTCCCCACTCGCCCCCCAGGAACAGAGCTCACCTTCCGTGTGGGCTTGAGGCGCACGACCTTGAGGGCAGCAGGAACCACCATCCGCTTTTTCTGGGAGGGAACGAGGGGTTAGTGTCCTGGGTGGGTGGGCGGGGGACGGACAGGCCTGAGGCCCAGAAGGGCGTCTCAGCCAGGGCTGTTCTCACGAGGGTCAAACAATGTAGGTAGGTCGTTAAGGAACATCACAGACGCCGGGGCACGTGGGGCACAGGGGCCGCTCTGGCTCACCTTGTCGTAGGGTGGCGGGATCCCGTCAAACACCTTGAGGCGGTCCAGGGCAGCCTGGCCTCGCTTGGTCTTGTGCGGCAGCATGCCTGGGGACAGCGGGCGGTGCTCAGGGGGCGTCCTCTCTTCACCCCACCCCCGGCCCCAGGGGACAGACGGGTGGCCTCAGATGGTAGTGCATGTGAGGTTATCTCACGGTTGGGAAACTCGAACATAGTGGGATGAGTGTCATCACTGGCCACGCCCACCCATGCAGCCCCCAGGCCCCGCTCACCTCGCACCGTGCGCCAGAAGATGCGGCTGGGGGCTCGGAAGTGGTAGGGGCCCCGGGACGGGTTGGTGTTCATCCGCTTCCGCAGGAAGGCCAGGTACTTCACTGTGTGTGTGTGGGGGGGGGCACACGTGAGGCCAAGGTGACCAGACCAACCTGCCCCAGTCACAGCCAACTCCTCCCACAAGCACCAGACACAGTCACCTCCCACCACCAAGCACCTGCAGGCTGACCCGCCCAGCCCTCCCCCTGCAGCCTAACTTACACTTGTTTCTGTAGAAATTGCCAGAAATGTTGATGCCCTCGCAGCGTACTACTACCACCTTCCGCCCTAGTGGAAAGTGACGCAGGAGAGAAAGGTTAGGAGGGTCTCAGGGCACCACCGGAGGGCGCCCCTCAACTAACACCTGGCGAGCTGCCCAGTCACTGAAGGCGGCTCCTTGCTGTGGAGCCCCGCCCACAACAGCCGGAGAGCAACCTGGGGTCCCAAGAACATGGCAGTGCTGGGCTAGACTCCCGCTCCACTGACACCAGCCCAAGGGCAGCCACCATCTCGGCCCTGAGGCGTGCGCCCTGCTGGTCTCAGAGCGGTGCATGGAGGTGGTCTCACGGTCGCGAGACTCAAACGAAAGATGGTGTTTGCGGCTCATCACTGACCTGCAGGGGGCACCAACGGCTGGGGGTGGCAGCGGGCACTTACCCAGCAGCACCTGCTTGGCCACGATGGCCGCCAGGCGGCCCAGGAGATGGCCTCTGCCATCGAGCACCAGGACCTGGGGAGACGGGAGGGGTTAGAGGGCTCAGCGGCACCCACTGCCCCGACTCTCCAACCACCACCCCTTCCACCCCTCTCGCTTCCGCCCTGCCCCCTGTGTCCAGCAGCATCCCAGCCCCATTTCAGAGAGAAAAACGCTAAGAGGTCAGGATTCCAGTCCGTGAGCAGCTCTGCCACTACAGCTAAGAACTGCCCTCACATCAGTTTCAGTTGGAAAGAAACGGAACTCGTACTGCAATTATTCCCTGGTAACAGCTAACAAAATCCCGACAGATCCTAATCACCTCAAAGACGACACTTCCACTGGCCACTTCATAGCAAAGCAAAACTCAGGTTCCGAGGGTGCTGGCCTCTACAGTCCCCGGTAAACTGAAATACTAAACCCAAGCTCCCTACTGATGATGTATCATTCTTATTAAATATCATCGTGACCATGGAATTGAAAAGCCCCAGCTACACAACCTGGTTCAAACCCACTAGCAGTTCTGTGGATGAAAACACTAATAGCCCTCCATAAAGATTACCATCCTTGAACCCCTAGCGGGCCCTGTCTTACAGGGTCAGTGTGAGTCGGAATATATACGACGGCAACGTGTTTGGTTTCGAATTATACACGTAGTGATCGCAAGGCGGCCACTGAGCCGACCCCGACATCTAAAGACAATCCCCCCGCGGGTTTTCCGCGAAGCATCTCTAGCTTTCCACGCGGCATCTTCCTCACCTGCAAAATGAGGCTAACACCTCCCCTTCAAGGCTTTCCTAACAATCACCAGGACCCCGCTATCGATCGCAGGCCCGCAAGCCCAGATACTGCAACCATCTGCCTGCCTCCAAAACTTGGTTCTAGTCTCCCAACAGATCAATGACAGGAAATTAACAAGGAAACTCTCTCCCGAACCATCCTCTTCTTTATCTAACAAAACACTACATTAAGAGCCGGAAAACAAGAGCTAAGCTTCAATTGTGCCCCCTCCCCCCAGCCTCCCCGCGAAAAGGACTGAGGCCCAAGGATGCTTCCAGCTGGGGCGCCCTGACCCTCTAGCGCCATTAGCAAGAAAACAGTAAATGCAATTCTGAAGGTCCAGTAGGCAGCTCTCCCGGACGTGGCTTCGTATCCAAAATTCCCGGGACTGCAGAGAACCACGAGTGAAGCAGTCCATAGACCAAAAGATGGAGATGACCTCCACTTTTGTTCCCGGAAGTGCCAATGAGCCGGTTTCCAGCGGGCCGGGCGACAACGGCCCGCACTGAGCCTTCCCTGGGCTTCTCATCCCCCGAGGCAGCCCAGCCGACCTCCGCGTACTCCCAGGATCCCAACCTCCCGAAATAGAAGGGAGACCCAGTTACAAAGTACGTATGTTTTTCCTGGAAATTCCCACCATCACTGCTCCAGCAGGAATGAAACACGGCATCTTAGCCAGTCCGACGCAGGCTTACGCGCAGACCCGACTTCCCTCATTCCCCGCGTTAGATTTTCCTAGATCCCTTAAAGCCCTTCTTTTCTGTTCAATTATCAGTCTTGGACTCCACAACCCACTCACGAAAAAAAAGAAACTTCAGCCCTGACCTAGACTGGAAGCCATTTGACCGCATGGTGCCCCGACCCGCGCGAAGCCCGCACCTGCCCCTCCGCCATCTTCGGCAGCCGCCTGGGAAAGAAGGAGACGCAGGCGCAGGGTTTCTTATCCCCTGAAACAGGGGCGGAGGAAGTGACGCAAAAGAGGCTTCCTGCTTTTTAATTGGTTAAAGTCATGTGCTCACCTGCGACGCCCACCTGAGGACGGATCGTCTTCAGACTATCCAATCCGGTTAGTGTTCCGTTCGGATCTCTGCGGCCATGGTTGTGCGGGGCGAGAGATCACGTGGGGCGTGGAGGCGACTTGGCTGGGTCGACCATATTTTTGAGGGGCTGTTAATCCCGCCCCCCTCCCGCGTTTGAGAGGACTGGCGCCATCACCCGGAGACGAGTGAAGGCTGCAGGACACGTGGTCCCGCCTTTCTTCGCTCCGTCTAGTCTAGGGGTTAGGATTCTGGTGCTTGGTCGGTCGTCCTTGAGACCTGGACAAACCTGCCTTGGACTCATAGTCTCCGTCTGTAGATCAGAGAGAGGTGATTTCCCCTTTTACTTCCAAGAGTGCAGAAGTGATGAATTCTAGGTGCTAGGGCTGCACCAAACGATATCGTATCCTCCAAAGATCTGCTCGATTTCTGAATTTAGCTTGGGGCGTGTCCTTTGCCTCCTCCACCCCACCTTCCAAAAACTGACTCGTGATAATCCCAATGCCTTTTGAGTGCTCCGGTACCTCTCATCGCTCCCCCTCTATTCTCTGCCCTTCAGAGTCCTGGTTTCTGCATTAAGAGCTAACCCTTCCCCTCTCACAACTCTCTCAGCTTCCCTAGTACCCCCAGGCCAGATTCCAAGGTCTGCAGCCCTCTTTACGGAGCCCCTTCTGATTTCTAGGGCCACTGCCCTCTCTCCTTCCCCCTCCCCAGCCCCTGGTCACTCTGCTTCAGCCCCAGGATCCTATACTCTTTTCCTTCCAGGCTTTGCATGCGTGCGCTGTTTTTGCCTGCAACCCCTTCCGTCAAAAACTCCCACTTCTCCAAGTACCAAGTCCTCTCCTCCAGAGAGCCCCCCCTGCCCATCCCAGACTGGGTCAGCTGCCTCCTGGGGCTCTCCCAATGCCTGCGTTACCATTAAAGCTTGTCACGCTCCCCTAGGGCTCTCCCATGTAGGCTAGGCTGGGGGGGTCTGACTCCCATCTCTAAGTCAACATTGCCCAGCAGCTCTGGCCCTAGGCCTCTGGAGGCCTCAGAAGATGCGTGTTGGACAAAGCAATACATTAACTGCACAACCAAGGCGCTGAAAGCCAAACGCGCCCCCACACACCCACAGACGGGCCCAGGCAGAGCTGGTAGAAAAGAGGATTTATATACAACTTGATGACAATGAGGGCTTTGTACAGACGGCTTCCCGGTGGGCTCAGGGCGAGGTTGGGTTCTGGTGTTGTCTCCATCCTGGCGAGAGATCCAGAGGAGTTGGGGGCCGAGGACGGGCCCGTGTCCTGGCTGTGTGTCCTCTGGCAGGCAACGCCCCTCTCTGGGCCTCAGCGTCCTCCTCTGTAAAATGGGTTGATAGGATGGATGGACCAGCGCCTTTCACGCTCAGGCAACGCCTGGCCAAAGAACTCTCGCGATGAAGGAAAAGTCTACGCCTACCTGATTCAACAGGGCAGCCAACAGCTACGTGGCGTTACTGAGCTGACACGTGGCCGATGCAACTCAAGAACTGGATTTTTTTTTTAATCTACTTGGATTTAATTTAAATTTAAGTCACTAATAATGCTCAGAAATCAAGACTGAAAGAAAAAAAAGCTAAAGTTAGAAACTAACCTGAGCTGAATTCTGTTTGGAAAACCTTAAAGTATGTTTGGAACTACTTGGGCTTGTGAATTGGCTTTTACAACGTTAATTTCATGAACTATAAATGCAGACCCAGTGTTTCTGATGAAAAGTTAGTTGAAGATTAAAAAAAAAACCCACTGCCATCCAGTTGATCGGGACTCATTAGGACGGAGTAGAACTGCCCATCGGATTTCCAGGGCTGTAAATCTTTATGGAAACAGACTGCCTCATCTTTCTCTCACATGATGGCTGGTGGGTTACGACCTGCTGACCTTTTGGTTAGCAGCCAGATGCTTTAACAACTGCTCCATCAGAGCTTAAATGAATGGAGATGTCGGGGGAAATTTTCAATCGCACGTCCGGCTTAGGTTCAGCTTCCGTTGGAAGGCGGTGCTCTAAGCCTGTTTGTGTGTCACTTCACATAACCCTACAGAGACCCTTTGGGGACAGACTGTTGTTGGAGCCTGTGAACCGACGAGGAAACTGAGGCAGAGACTGAAGGACTAAGGGATACAGGTGCCAGAACCAGACAGCATGGATTCAAACGCTGGCTCTGACAACTCGCAAGCTGTGTGACTTTTGGCAAATTATTTACCTCTCTGTGCCTCGGTGTCAGCCTCTCAGGGTATCTGTGGCAACTAATGCGTTAATCTCAGAACACCGGGCACAAAGCCTGAGTTGCTAACTATGTGAGTGAGGACTGTGGGCTGAGGCCCTGCCTCCTGCTACCACAGCCAGTCCCCACACTCTTCCCATGACTCCCCGCTGCCCTGGGCAGGAAGTCCTGACTCCCTGGCCTGGCCTGGCTGTTGTTGTTGTTATGTGCCGTCGAGTCGGCCCTGACTCATAGGGACCCCTCCTTGGGTTTCCGAGGCGGTATCACTACGGAAGTAGGATTGCCCAACCTTCCTTCCGAGGAGTGGCTGGTGGGTTTGAACCGCCAGCCTTCTGGTTAGCAGGCAAGTGTCTTAGCCACTATGCTACCAGAGCTCCTTGGCCTGGCCTGGCAGTCCCCTGATTTTTCTGTTTGGCTCACTCCTGTACAAGAAGCAATCCCTCTTTTTCACTGCTCTAGGCTGGGCCACGTCACCCAAACTCGGAACTCCCTACAGTCCCCTGGACCTGTCCCCTCCTCTTCATTCAGATAATGCCAGCTCAGGTCTCAGCCTCTCTGCCCGTCATGCCAGCCTCCTCCCTGGCCTCCCGATCAGTCCCCCAGGCGTTGCCTCTGTTCACAGCCCTCCTGTGGCGTCCCCACCACCACCACGACCACCACGCACACAGCCCAGCATCCTGCGCCCGGCATTCCAGGCCCCACAGGACACGAAAGACTCACCAAGACGAGGTTTCAGCCCGGTCAGCACTCCACAAGCTGCAGGAACAGCCCGTCCCGGGGACCGAAGGCGAGAGGCACCTGGGACGCCCGCAGAGTTAGTTGCCAGGCTGTCCAGGACATCCTGTCACCCCCATGCCCTCCCCACGGCCTCTGCCCACCCTGGGGCTCACCTGTTTTGTAGGGCGGGGCGTTCTCTGCCAGCTCTTCGCCGGTGCAGGCGCCAGGCGGCGGTGAGCAGGACCAGGACGGCCAGGGGCAGCAGCAAGAGAAACAGCAGCTGGTGCTGAGGGGCTGGCAGGGCCGTGGCTCCCAGGGCTGTGGCCCCCAGGGCCCGAGGACTCTGCGGGGGCAGCAAGGTGGAGGGGTCTGGAGGGAGAGAAGAGACTGGGTGGATGAGAAGGGCCAAGGCCAGGGAAGGAAAAAAGGCCAGCCTCGTGGGCAGCTTCCTTGCCTCTCTGGCCTCAGTTTCCCCATCTGTAAAATGGGAGTAATGACCGTCCCAACCTCATGAGGTTGTCATGAGATGTCAGTGCTCAGGACACTGTCTGGCACCTTGCAGGCGTGCAGCTGACGTCATAAACAGCCATGTGTGTGTTTTTTTTTTAATGCATTTTATTGAAATATATGGATAGTGCAATACACAAAACTAAAGTGACATGGGTCAATGCATATTTTTTTTTGCAGTGTTCCCTCCCCTCCCCTCCCCTCCCACACCTGGCAACCAACAAAGAACGTTTCCCTCCATATATAAGCCTTTCCTTGACCCTCCACAACAATGAACTAATAGTAGATTTGTCTTTCTGTGATTGACCGATTTCATTCAGCATAATGCCCTCCAAGTTCATCCTTATTGTGCGGTGTTTTGCAGACTCTACATTATTCTTCAGCACTGCATAGCATTCCATTGTGTGTGTACCATAGCTTGGTCATCCACCCTTCCGCTGATGGGCACGTAGGTTGTTTCCATCTTTTTGCTGTTGTAAATAGTGCTGTGATGAACATGAGCGTGCATGTATCTGTTCCTACCTGGCTCTCACTTCTCCAGCATATATACCTAGTAATGGGATTGCTGGGTCAAATGGTATCTCCAATTCCAACTTCCTAAGGAATCACCATATCGCTTTCCACAGTGGTTGTATCACTTCACAGTCCCACCAGCAGTGTATGAGAGTCCCAATCTCTCCACATCCCCACCAGCATTTGTTATTTCTGTCTCGTTGAACCTTGCCATCAGTGCTGGGGTGAGACAGTATATCTCATTGTTGTTTTGATTTGCATCTCTCTGATGGCCAGTGATCGTGCGCATCTCTTCACGTATTAGCTGGCCACCTGAATATTCTCCTTAGTGAAGTGTCTATTCATGTCTTCTGCCCATTTTTCAACTGGATTGTTAATTCCTTTGATGTTGAGGCGTCGGAGTTTTCCATCAATCTTAGAGATAAGTTCCTTGCCAGATATGTAATTATCCACAAATATGAATTTGTTGCTGTCATTTTTGTCATATGCTGTTTCATGGTGTTGATTTCTTTGTTCCATATAATCTTCTAGGCTGAACTCATTTTGCTTACGAATCATGTTATCACTTCCTTCATTGCTATTGTTTTAGTATTTGCTGAATATTTATGCTGGTCCTCTTTTTTATTTTGATGTGAGGGTTTATCATTTTTCTTTGAGGTTACCCTGTGATTTATAGTTTTCGTCCCAAGTTTAGAACAGTCCATTCTATCTTGTAGTTGTCTTGACTTCCCTACCATCTAGAAGTTCTGTAATGACAGTTTTTTTCCCTCTTTATGGTTTGTAGCTGTCCTAACTTGTCAGTTGGTGTCTCTGGTTTCCTGTTTACAATCTTGTAGGCTTATTTACTTTGGATACTTCCATAGAGCTGGGTTGGTTTCTGGGTTATATCATCATGTGTGTTAATGGTCAGTTGTTGGCATAAATAGCCATGTTTTTAAAAGCTGTTGGGTCAGTTCTGACTCATGGTGACCCCATGTGTGTAAGAGAAACATGCGCTTCGTCAGGTTTTCACAGGCTGACTTTGGGGCGGTAACTCCCCAGGCCCTTGTAAGGCCTCTCTGGGTGGATTCGAGCCTCCAACCTTTCCGTCAGCAGCTGAGTTGCTGTTAGTTGCTGTTCAGTTGACTCTCACCATGGCGACCCTGTGTGTGTTGGAGCAGAACTGCCCTCCTCAGCAGTGGGTGTGGTTTGGGCTTTGCTCCCATAAAGACTGACAGCCTTGGAGACCCTGTGGGGCAGTTCCACTCTGTCCTCTAGGGGCGCTGTGGGTCAGAATTGACTTGACAGGAACTGAGTTTTGTTTGCTTGTTTTTCCCTGACTTCCCGTCCCATCCTTCCCCCTCGCCCCCTCCTACACTCAGCTCCTGCCACTCTGCTCTCCATGTTCCTTACACACAGGCAGGTTTCTGCCTCAGGGCCTTTGCACTGGCTGTTCCCTTGTTTCCAAGGTTCAATCACTTTCCAGCCCATCTCCTATTTTAATTCCTCCCGCCCTCCCCCAGGACTCATTATGCTCAGATATTGTCTTATTTATTTATCTGTTTCCCTCACTGTCCCTGATTTGCATATCAGCCTCAGAGGGTAGGGACCTTGCTCTGGTTCCTAACAGTGCCAGGCACATAGAAGATGCTCAGTAAGACGTGAAAGAAATGACTGGCCAATCCACCTAAATACAAATGATACAAACAGCTCCTAGAAAGGCAGAAGTTGACAAAAATAGAATTAGGGTGGGAGGTTTGTTAAAAGCCCTCTCAGCACTTGACAGACCTGCTGCACAAAGCCTGAACAATACTCCTTGGGTTTCTGAGGCGGTATCACTATGGAAGTAGATTGCCCAACCTTCCTTCTGAGGAGTGGCTGCTGGGTTTGAACCGCCAGCCTCCTGGTTAGCAGTCAAGTGCCTTAGGCACTGCACCACCAGAGCTCCTACCTTCACAGAAGCAAAGCCCAAACCAAACCCAGTGCCTGGAGGGGATTCTGACCCACAGCGCCCCTAGAGGACAGAGTGGAACTGCACCACAGGGTCTCCAAGGCTGTCAGTCTTTATGGGAGCAA